TATATATATATATATATATATTTATATATATATATATATATATTTATATATATATATATATATATATATATATATATATATATATATATATATATATATATATATATATATATATATATATATATATATATATATATATATATATATATATATATATATATATATATATATATATATATATATATATATATATATATATATATATATATATATATATATATATATATATATATATATATATATATATATATATATATATATATATATATATATATATATATATATATATATATATATATATATATATATATATATATATATATATATATATATATATATATATATATATATATATATATATATATATATATATATATATATATATATATATATATATATATATATATATATATATATATATATATATATATATATATATATATATATATATATATATATATATATATATATATATATATATATATATATATATATATTTTTTTTTATATATATATATATTTTATCTATATATTTAAGCACATATATAGCTTATATATAGGCACATATATTATACACTTGTGAGTGTGTGTATCATATATATATATATATATATATATGTTATATAGGCACATATATCATACACATACATATACATACACGTGCGTGCGTGCGTGTGTGTGTGTGTGTGTGTGTCTGGTTATGTGTTTTTTGTGTTTTGTTTGTGTGTCAGTGTTTCTGTTTGTTTTGTGCATGTTTGTGTGTGTTTATAAATGTGCGTTTGTGTGTGTTTTGACTATATACTGTGTATAAATGCGTTTTATGCATGAATGTCTGTTTTGTGTGTGTTTATTTATTCGTGTGTGGTTGTGTCTTTGTTTGTGCGTGTGTTTTGCATTTTGTTTGTTTGTGCATGTGTGTTTCTGTGTGTTTTGTGCATGTTTGTGTGTGCTTATATAAATATGTGTTTTTTTTGTCTATGCATATTTGTGTATGCGTGCGTGCATGCTTTTATATATGTATTTGGTATTTATTTTGTGTGTGTGTTTCTGTGTGCGTGCATGTCTTTTTGTGTCTGTATATCTATATATGATTTTGTGTGTGTTTTTTCAGAGGTGAATCTGGAGCTGGAAAGACAGAAAACACCAAGAAGGTCATTCAGTATCTGGCTCACGTGGCGTCATCTCACAAAACCAAGAAAGACCAGGTGTGTGTGTGTGTGTGTGTGTGTGTGTGTGTGTGTGTGTGTGTGTGTGTGTGTGTGTGTGTGTGTGTGTGTGTGTGTGTGTGTGTGTGTGTGTGTGTGTGTGCGCGCGCAGCTGGTCCTGCTGAAGATCACGGCTCTGCTGTTTCCCACGTCAGACTTCAGGCATCCAGTGACGACTCCAGCGTTCCTCTACATCAGCCAGACCCTCACCAAGGTCACTACCTGTGTGTGTGTGTGTGTGTGTGTGTGTGTGTGTGTGTGTGTGTCTGATGTGTGTTTGTTATCATACTGATGTGTGCATGTGCGTATGTGTTATTGTGTGCCTCTGACTGTCTATTACCTAATCAGTGTGTGTGTGTGTGTGTGTGTGTGTGTGTGTGTGTTCAGTGTGCGGTGGTCTCTCTGGAGGATGTGTGTAAGGGTTTAATCCTCTGCTGTTTGGCGCTGGAGTTCGTCTCTCTCTCTCAGAGGTTTTTCCCAGAACTGATCAACTTCCTGCTGGGGCTCCTCAACCTGGCGGTCCCCGACAAGACCAGCACAGGTGTGTGTCAATACAACAATTAATTCTTTATTGTTATTGTTGTTGTTGTTGTTGTTGTTGTTGGTTTTCGTGGTGTTGTAGTTCTTTATTTCACTAGTCCAATTGTAATTTGCGGTATTACAACTACAAAAAACTTGCAGTAGCCCTCTCCCTTTGCACATGTGACCCGCTGGGCTGTTTGTGAGGTGACCTCTCCTCTCCTCTTGGCTGTTAAAGCGATACCTGTGGATCCAGACACCAGCGTGCCTGAGGTGTGAGTTTTCTCCTCTGTGTCTGTTACGGATTACCTGTGATAACCGTGTATTATTCACAAACAGACTGTAACCGCGGCTGTTCTTCCTGTCATCGCTGAACAGCGCTTTAATTTCTAAAGCCGACCGCAGCCCTTTCTGTTGAGCAGGTGAAGACAATAATCAGTCATAAGTGTGTAAGCCCTCACCTGTCAGCGCTCAAAAAGCAAGCGGGATCATATTGACATGAGTTTATTTGCTGTAAATGCTGCTGCTGCTGTCTTCTGTGTGTGTGTGTGTGTGTGTGTGTGTGTGTGTGTGTGTGTGTGTGTGTGTGTGTGTGTGTGTGTGTGTTGGAGTTGTGTTTGACTCATTCAGAAAGAGAGTTTTCTTTGAGCAGGTCAAATTAAGGCTACAGTTCACATGTCTGACTGCTGTGTTAAAGGACAAAATGTATTACAAATATTATATGAATATTGATATATTTATACATTTTAATAAAAAAAAAATTGTGTTGTGAAGAAAAAACCTAATTCTGTATGGAAAGCATAATCAATGCACGGAGAAATCGAATTGAACTGAATCAATGATAATCATAACCAAACCGTGAGAGCAGTGTAGACTCACACAACTACAACATAATATAACAAGCTAAGTATTTTGTCAAACATTTTGTCTTAAAGCCGAATGAGAAAGGAGAGTCCATAGGGTGGTGTTTCTTCCCACACTGAGACACTTCCTGTGAATGCTTAATGTGACTTTTTTCCATTTTATCCGGTTCCTTTTACAGCGGCGATGCTGTAATGTCATTAAAATACAATCAGTTTAATAGATCTTGGCATTCATTTACTTGCTCGAGCGTAAAACGATATAAAAAAGCCGTTTAATCCAGAATGAGCAGGCTAGCGCAGGAGCTCCATTGAATATACTGGGGTAAAATAAATGCTCATATTATGAAGACATGGCGAGGGGAATGTAATGTAAGGCAGTGCTTCTTGTACAATCTGAGACCCACTTTACATCAGATATCACTCAGGCAGTGGAGAGCGCTGATTTATAAAGAATTCAGACCTTAAACGCGCCGATTTTGCAATGGCAAACAGTTCACCGGAAGCGCTTAACCCAGGTGACTGACAAATTAAAAGTCCTTAAGCATATGTTAAGCAATGTGAATTGGTATGTCGAATTGGTTTGAGAACAGTGAAAAAAGGCAACACAATTACACAACTAACCTTAACCCTTAAAGACCTAGAGGTATTTTGTGGGCACCTAATGGGCCTATATTATTATTCTTTTTTAAAGCAGTTTTATTTTTCTTAAAGCAGTCAGCCTCAAGTGTCATATATCATTTTAAACAGGAGAACCTGAAGTTTCAATCTCTATCATTTAAAGGTCCAGTCTAAAATATGTTTTGGTCCAAAAACATATGAACAGACAGAAAATATTCCAGAAACGATTTTTAAAAAAGTGCCATTTTCTAGTTATTTCAAACAAAACCTTATGAAGTTTGTTTTTCTTTCTTTAGAAATACATGCTTCGATGTTTTATACTTCCAAAATAAATTTTGTCTACATCCACAATTCCCTGAGCAAGTTATAGCAATTTATTTCAATGTTATTCCAAGGCGTTTTTCTATGGGAGAAAAAAAACTGCATTTATTTACTGACAATGTATTTGCCCAAAAGTTCTGGGAATGAACTAAACAGAAAAAATGTTACAAAATAATAGAACAGTGAAGCAAATTTGACTTTTTCCAAATAATATATTTTCAGTTACTATAAACAACACCACTTACAATAAACAAATAATAAAATAAGAAAATAATAATGTGTCAAAGTCCAAATAAACATGGTGCAAATCCTCAGTAAAAAAATAGATATAAATATTTACTATACTATAAATAGTTACATAATGAAACTAGATTCAATATGGAACATCTTTAGGTTTTATGTGCCAGCATGGATATGGTTGTCTGTGGATATGGATATGGATATGGTTGTCTGCAATGCAGACAAACAGCTGCATCTTCATTTGCGTCTTTTGAAAACACCAAGAGCAGCAGTTCGTCTTTGCTGTGTCACTGTTTTGTCATGTTTCTGTGCTGCTGTGCATGCAAAAGTACTTAGTATGAGAATTATTTCATGCAAAACTTTTTTTTTTTTTGCGTTTTATTTAGCCGCGCATAAATGTATGCCTTTCTCTCATTCCGTGTTGTTCAAAAAGCTTGGTCCACAAACAAAAGCGAAACCTATGCTTATTGGTTGTGATATAGCGAGTTTGAACCAATCTGGGCATGGAGGAGGGACAATGCATCAATGTATCATGTCTGATTTGTCCGGAGACACAGTGACGAGCGTTTCTTTGTCAAATCAGCGTTGTCTTTAAGGGTTAAATCACATCTCAAACATAACCACCCTACTAGGGCTGGGCGATTTTTTTTCTAGTAATTCGAATTTACGTTTTCAAGTCGATAAACTCGATCTCAACATGTATGAAGGACGTAAAAGCCTGCCATGAGAAAAACCGCGCCGGTTTGAACATGAGTAGAGGTGAGGGAGCGGACCTAGTTAAAAACCAGACAGATCAGGCAGCATAATACAGAGAGTGGAGCAAAGCGCATCAAATGATCCATATTTAAAAGGGGGAAAAAGAAAAATAGATTAAATATATTATTTCATATTAGACACACATCTGGTGCTTGTATTTGCTCCTGCTTTACGTCCACAACTTCACACATTGGGTTAAATTAGGCTTTACAGTGTCCATGTTCAGTGCTTTACCTCCACTGTATATAAGGCAGCAGCTTTACAACCTGACATTCAATCAGAAGAAGACAAAGACAAAGCTGAGCTGAGCTGACAATCTTTCCTAGACTAAGCAAAACTTGCAAAAATCCCTCTGTATTCCTGCAACTGCAATATTTACACAAATACTTATTATTCACATCTTCTGCAACACTATTTAACTCGTGAATTTGTTTTACATTTATTTACACCTTGACCAGTTTTTGTATGACATGGCCATTAAAACTACACTGTTCCTTAACCAGATGATGTTTCAAGTTAAAGAGAATGTTACTTCAGTCATGTTGTTGTAATGTTTTGAGAAGACTAGTAACACAAAAATCCAATTCGAAATCGTGAATCGGTCAAACTTTATAAAAAACCTCGATTATTATTATTTTTTTTTTGCTAAATTGCCCAGCCCTACACCCTACCCATCTTTTCAACATGCGAGCAACAACCGCTGCTGCTACTGGAGACGTCTTCCAGACAGTAAACTTTAATGGATCTATTTACCTGTCAGTGCAAATATAAACGTGACTGTGTGAAATGGCACACACTCACAGACAGCTTCCATTATTTAGCTGAAGAGATGTCCTCAGCCTCCATGCAAGAGTCTATTTCAGCGTACTGGAGAGGAGGATCTAGCTGACGGTTGAATCCAGGAGGAACAATGCGGATTCGGTCCAGGCCAGGGTTCATTGGAGCAGCTCTACATTCTCTCTAGGGTGCTGGAGGGTTCATAGGAGTAAGCCCAACCAGTCCACATGTGTTCCGTTGATTTAGGATGAGTCCTTCATGGCATTCAGTGTGTGCTCTGGGAGAATAGGGTCAGAGGTGCTCTGTTTGGTCCCAGTCTGACCAGAACAGGAGTTTGGTTGGTGTTGGTGGCAGTAAGGCTGCTCTCTGTCACCAGTTCTCTTCATATTTCTAATGGACAGAATTTCTATGCGCAGCCTTAGGCCATAGAGGGTCTGCTTCAGGAACCACAGGAGTCCAGCTTCGTTTTTCCCAGGTGAGGAGGTTCTCTTGGCTTCATTGAGACCTTCAGCATGCACTGAGATAGTCTGCTGCTGAGTGTGGCAACGCTGGGATGAGAATCAGCATCAAGGCCATGGTGAAGAAGTTGGCCTGACGTCCTCATGTTGAAGCAGAATGCTGTCCCCCGTGTGGTTTTGTTAAGGAGTAAGGGGAGGGTGGAACGTGAGACTGGCAGGCCTCGGGGAAGACCCAGGACTATGTCTCTCGGTTGCCCTGGGAACACCTCTCAATCCCCCACAGTGGAGCTGGAGGAGTGTCAGGGAGAGGGAAGTTTAGGGTTCTGCTGAGACTGCTGCCCCGCGACCCGGCCCAGGATCAGTGAAGAAAAAGGATGGATGGTTATTCATATATACTCTAAACACTGTGTTGTGATTGTCTGTTAATCAGTCTTATAACGGCCAATACAATCACATGACCGTGTGTGTGTGTGTGTGTGTGTGTGTGTGTGTGTGTGTGTGTGTGTGTGTGTGTGTGTGTGTGTGTGTGTGTGTGTGCACGCAGGTTATACAGTGGTGAGTCCGTTTAGAGCGCGGGGGAAGAACTGTGATCTGCTGCTGCTGACGGATACAGACGCGTCTCACAGCTGGAGGAGGAAACCATTATCACTGCATACAACACACACCAGTGCAGAGGACAGAGACCACTGCAGGTACACACACACACACACTTATAACAAGAGCTCTTTACTGTATACAGATATATTATATAAAGAGTCCTCATAAACCACCAATACTAACTGCGTGTGTGTGTGTGTGTGTGTGTGTGTGTGTGTGTGTGTGTGTGTGTGTGTGTGTGTGTGTGTGTGTGTGTGTGTTTCAGGCTGTCAGTCATCGACTCGTGTCTGGATCTGCTGAAGAGGT